TTATAACAAGTCCTCTATCTGCCGCTTATGTATCAGAACAGATCCTCTCTATGTCACTTATGGGTCAGAACAAGTCCTCTATCTGCCGCTTATGGGTCAGAACAAGTCCTCTATCTGCCGCTTATGTGTTAGAACAAGTCCTCTATCTGCCGCTTATGTATCAGAACAGATCTTCTCTATGTCACTTATGGGTCAGAACAAGTCCTCTATCTGCCGCTTATGGGTCAGAACAAGTCCTCTATCTGCCGCTTATGTGTTATAACAAGTCCTCTATCTGCCGCTTATGTATCAGAACAGATCCTCTCTATGTCACTTATGGGTCAGAACAAGTCCTCTATCTGTCACTTATGGGTCAGAACAAGTCCTCTATCTGCCGCTTATGGGTCAGAACAAGTCCTCTATCTGCCGCTTATGTGTTAGAACAAGTCCTCTATCTGCCGCTTATGTATCAGAACAGATCCTCTCTATGTCACTTATGGGTCAGAACAAGTCCTCTATCTGCCGCTTATGGGTCAGAACAAGTCCTCTATCTGCCGCTTATGTGTTATAACAAGTCCTCTATCTGCCGCTTATGTATCAGAACAGATCCTCTCTATGTCACTTATGGGTCAGAACAAGTCCTCTATCTGCCGCTTATGGGTCAGAACAAGTCCTCTATCTGCCGCTTATGTGTTAGAACAAGTCCTCTATCTGCCGCTTATGTATCAGAACAGATCCTCTCTATGTCACTTATGGGTCAGAACAAGTCCTATATCTGCCGCTTATGTGTCAGATCAAGTCCTCTATCTGCCGCTTATGTGTTAGAACAAGTCCTCTATCTGCCGCTTATGTATCAGAACAGATCCTCTCTATGTCACTTATGGGTCAGAACAAGTCCTATATCTGCCGCTTATGTGTCAGATCAAGTCCTATATCTGCCGTTTATGCGTCAGAACAAGTACTTCATCTGCCGCTTATGTATCAGAACAGATCCTATATAGCTAATTATGTGTCAGAATAAATACTTCATCTGCCACTTATGTGTTAGAACAAGTTTTCTTTTTCTAGCACATGCGTTAGATCAAGTTCCTATTTGCCATATGTATCACACAGAACAAGTATTCTTTCTACAAAATATATTCCTCTGAACACAAGAACATACGTCATAATAAATTCCTATATTTTCCATATGGTATCAGAACAGACATTTTTTCTTTTTACAACCCATATATCAAATCTAGTTTTACGTCTAACAAATAAATTATAATAACCTCATAACTGTCATGTTTATCAAAGAACAAGTATTTTTTCTACAACCTATGTTCCAGAGCAGGTTTTTACCTCTAGAATATGCGTCAGAATAAGTTGCTATTTGACATGTTATCTTACAGAAAAATTATTCATTCTACAAAACTTATGTATCGAATATGTGTGAGAAAACAAGTCCTCTACAAAAGAAACTTGTCAACGCTACCTTAAAAATGGCCTCCTCATTTTACAGGGAGGTCGTTAAGACCCTCGTAAATTCCGGGATTTCTGAAGTAAAGTTTTTAATGGTGATGGCAGAGAGGCCAATAACTCGGGAAGAACAACCCCCAGCTCTGATTGCTCGGCGATTGAAGCATGTTTCTGACCCTATGTCTGAATACATATATCTATACATGACAGCTTTGGAACAACGCAACCACAACTAATGAATATATCATTGCTTCAAGATATTTAACATTTTTAATAGCTGTCTTCATTTTTACTAGCATTCTAATAAAAAAGATGTATATGTGTGTGGGGATGCTTTTATATTATTTGGTTTTCTTTATGTGTGTGGGTGGGCAAATTTATTTTGAATTGTTTCAGGACATTTAATATTTTTAATAGCTTTGTTCATTTTTACTAGCGTTCTAATAAAAAAGGGTATGTTTGTGTGTGGGGATGATTTTATATTATTTGTTTTTTTTTTAGGTAGTGTGTGTGTAAATTTATTTTAATTAAAATTTTATATATACACAACACAGTCATACTTATGCCCAATGCAAAAAAGTGTATGGGTGTTGAGACAAGAATTCTGAGATAAATTCGACCTAAGAAATAAAATGGAAAGAGAGCGCATTTTTCTGAATGATTAAAACTTTTGGAATTACCATTGATTTTGTCTTTTTATTTAATTTTTTAACATCTATATATATAAAAATGAATGTATGTGTGTGTGTCCTTTATGCCTGACCAAACCACTCATTGGAACGCCATGAAACTTTGGGAAGTTATTTAGTATAGTACTGGGAAGGTTTCTGAAAAATAATTTCTCTAATATCTTGAATATCCTTAGATTTATTTGCAGATTTGTAGATTTAACTCGCAAGCAGCGCCACCTTGCGACGGAGATAGGCTTAGGCAGGAAGTCTGCCCCACCCCCTGTCGAGAGAATGTAATCGTCCGGCCGCCGGCCGGATGGACAGTCCAAGTACCCACCGACCAATCGGAGGGGCAGAGGGGTCAAGAGGTCCTGGCGCGCGGGAGCAGAGTTGGTGACACAGCTGTGCCAAGTAGACAAGAAAAAAGCCTCGCGGGGGCTTGCCCAAGATGACCTCCGGGAACTTCGTCCATCTTCCATAAACGACCATGATTTTATTCAACTTATCGAGTAGTTTTCAAGGGACCGGGAAAAAATGTTCACTAGATAAAACGATGATTTTGTAATGTAGAAAATTAGGAAAGACAAAATTCAGGATGACACGGCACACAGGGACCGGGAAAAAATGATCACTTTATCGAGAGATTCAAATTTACGAGTTTCAAATTATCAAAATATATCTATTATTTTTTTTAATAAGTTTATAGAGAATTGTTTTTAAAAATGTTCGTTAGACAAACCTTACTCGGGTAAAACCCGGGCGAAGCCGGGTACATCCGCTAGTAATTATATATATTTTCTACACATCTGAGAGTAACTCTCGAGGTATAATTTCAGGAACCACTGGACTGGAGGATTCATTGATGATTCTCTAATCATGATTGATGATTAAAGACATCCATGTCATCCATGTTATTTCTTTAATAGATTCTTCACCTTTAGTTTAGGTTTTCACGATATCATACTTTCGTAACAAAGAACACAGAGAGAGAATATGGTTTTACGGGCTACCAAGAAACAAAGAACAGAACTAAGTAGCTTTAGTCTCCTATAGTTGTCATTAGATTTCTTACTTGGTAGCTCTGATAACTTCTGTATTAGGATATCTACGTTATATGGGATTGTAGAGCCTTACTGGTGATCTCTCTCTATAAGATATCTTGTGTAGGTATTCCATACATCGGTGAGGAACTCTCGAAGTAAAATTTTCAGGAACCATTGTACTGAAGGATTCATTGATGGTTCTCTAATCATATTATCATTGATGATTAGAGACATCTATGACTACCCTTGTTATTTCTTTAATAGATTCTTCACTTTTAGTTTAGGTTAGCGATATCATACTTTCGTAACAAAGAACACAGAGAGAGAATATGGTTTTACGAGCTACTAACCAAGAAACAAAGAACAGAACTAAGTAGCTTTAGTCCTATAGTTGTTATTAGATTTCTTACTTGGTAGCTCTGATGACTTATTTATTAAGAAATCTACGCTATATGGCATTGTAGAGCCTTACTGGTGATCTCTATCTATAAGATATCTTGTGTAGTTATTCCATACATCCGTGAGGAACTCTCGAAGTAAAATTTTCAGGAACCATTGTACTGAAGGATTCATTGATGATTCTCTAATCATGATTGATGATTAGAGACATCTATGACTACCCTTGTTATTTCTTTAATAGATTCTTCACTTTTAGTTTAGGTTCGCGATATCATACTTTCGTAACAAAGAACACAGAGAGAGAATATGGTTTTACGGGCTACTAACCAAGAAACAAAGAACAGAACTAAGTAGCTAAAGTTGATTCCTATAATTGCCATTAGATTGGTAGCTCTGATGACTTCTGTATTAAGAAATCTATGTTATATGACATTTTGTAGAGCCTTACTGGTGATCTCTATCTGCAATATATCTCTTTGTAGATATTCTAGCATCCGAGTTGTGGAAGCAGAAACTTATTAATGATAGGAATTATATAAAGAAATCAACTAAGAAGAGCTTCCTTTACCTCAGTTGTGTAGATCTAATAGCAATTAGGAACATTAAGTTGGTGATCTAGCACAGATAGTATATATCTGATGTGACAAGCAATCTTTTCCTAAATATATATATATAAGTATAGAAAATCAAAATAAAAAAAACTTCAAATGTGTTAGTTGATGGCAACGTGTAAAGGCTCTCTAAAATGGCGAGGTATACTGATGGTTTGGTTGAGATCCTCACAAGATTCAAGTAGAGGGACTTACCAGAATAGTGAGGTTATTATTCCATGGTCAGTACACCTCCCACACAAGTATCCCAAAGTCCTGCAACAACAACTCACTCAGTCTCAAGTTGATCCATTACACCAATAGCACATGGTCATGGTTATCGTGGTAGGTAGTGGTTAAGATTGCTTATACAAACACCGAAAAAGGACTCTATAACAGTACAAGTAAAGCCATATTCCTATATTTTTGGAACACCTTGCAGTTAATTTATAAACCTAGTGTGTGTGTGTGTGCTAACAGCTTTCATACAATGTCTTTACTAACAATGCCAAATGAAACCTTCCCAGTTGAAATTAATATTTTTCCGCTAATAGATGATCCTTATACAAACACCGAAAAAGAACTCTATAACAGTACAAGTAAAGCCATATTCTTTACTCCTGGAAACTTGTCTATAAACCTAGTGAACAGCTTTCATACAACCGCTTTAATAAAATTTCCAAATGAAACTTTCCTAATTGAAATTAATACTTTTCCGCTAATAGATGACGTCTACAGACTACATTTGGAAAAGCTCAAACCTGTACCTTACTTCAACTGGCTTTGCCCTCTAATGTCCTACCGACGGCACTAGGCAAATATGAAGACCAACAGTCAAATAATGGCAATATATCCACCATATCTTATATCTGCCTAGTGGACATGGCATCTGCTCGATAAGCGGAATACTGTGGGTTCGATTCCCATCCCTGGACACTTTATTTTTCCGTTTATGATTACTCTTCAAAATTCATCCATTCATACCTCATCCTTAAGGTTAGAAATAATCGTTATTTCTCCTTAAAATAAAATTTGATTTTTCGTTCAAAGAAACACATGCGGGATAATTTTCAAATGTCCTTTTACAATCTCAACAGCTTATCACCCGTAGTTATCCGTAGGATGGCGCAGGACGGAGAACTTTGGAGGAATACCATTCGTATCAGCAATATATCTATAGATTTGTAGATTGTAGGTAGTTTCTCTATTTTAAACAAACCTATAAAATAGACATTTATGATGAAATTGAACATGTATCACACTTTTCATATGTAGAAAAGACTCGACCTTTGGTACTTACATCCTGTTACTTGTGCCCTACCTAGTGCGATTGTTTAAGAATTGAACGCTGGTCGCGACTTCAGGTCCAGTCTGATAATTAAGACAGTTTAGACCATGTATATTCAAACGTGTATAAGACATGTGAACATGAGAGCTTACGAAAAAGGTACAGGCTACTCTCTTACCATTCCTAAACATTCCATACTATTCAAGGTATATTTTTGTAGAAATAAAAAGAAATACATTTTCGACAGGAAATTGCCAAATTTCGGGTAATTGATGGCTACCACGACTATATGATTTAACATAGTAATAATGAAGAGAACGAGAGAGATAGAAAAAAATTATGAGAACTACCGGGAAATGAAGATGGGACATTACATAAGAGACAAAACAAGATGAAATTAATGCGTTGTTGTGTTTTCCACCATTGTTCCTCCCTAGCTAATGATTCCCGGCGGCAAAACAAGTTTCTGATTTCAAAATCTCATGTTTGTCGGCTCATCTTCCTTGCTACAGCTCTCAGTTGGTCAAACTTAGATATACCATTACATCTTCTACTGTCGAAAGGGTTGTTTGGTATTGTACTAACATCCACAGCATGGTCCATACCTCAGATCTACCATTACATCTTTTACTGTGGATCACGGGCAGCGCAGCACCCAACAACAGCCTCCAGGTTCGATATATTAGTTTTTCATATTTTGGTTTTAATAATTCCATACGAGTACACAGAGCTACATAAATGAGATTTATCAAATACAACGTATACAGTGAGCTATGATTGTTGAGAGAGCGCATACATCGGTGAAATTGTGCGGGATAGAGGGCAAACATCTAGGTCACAGACCATCGGTCCTTTGGATTGGTCAACCTCTCCTCACTATTACATAGCTAGCGCAATATGTAAATATTGCCGCCGTTCCCAATCCCACATCATAGACCGCTCATGTTTTCTCTTCAACAATATATTCTCTCGTAGTTGTGAGACATAAGATAGACATTTGCCTTGATTCTATATTTGAGAATATCTGTTTTCACAAAAATTCGGAAGCACTAATTGACTGTCAATATAATCTCTTACTGAAGCTATCATAGATAAAGCATAAGATAGACAATTTTTCATTGATTCCAACACCTATAAATTGCTGTTTTTCACAACCTCTGGATCCATTAATTGACCCTCTATGTACTCAAGTGTTAAAACAAAAGATAGAAAATTTCCATAATCCTAATATGTAAATACTGCCGCTTGTTCGTCTTCTTTTAGAAAATACTATCTACAAATAGACATCTCTTAAACACATATATTGCACCAATATATTTCCTAGTTAATTTTCCAACAGAAAACGAACATTGAATCACTTGTGTAAATTCCTCAAAAATTCCAAAATTAGGTTAACCAAACATGATATATACATCTCTCTCTCTCTCTCTCTCTCTCTCTCTCTCTCTTTATAAAATATTTTTACTCTAGGTAGGATGTCTAGGAGCCTGGCAGGGCTGATTTAATCGGACTCGGCCGAGTAATGCCTATAAAATGGCGGAGGCTGACTTGAGCGACCCGATGTTGGAGCTCTCTCTCTCTCACGCTTGTTCGGCGGTACATATACTAAAATTGGAACGATACAGAGAAGATTAGCATGGCCCCTGCGCAAGGATGACACGCAAAATCGTGAAGCGTTCTCTCTCTCTCTCTCTAGTGTACTGAAACACTCACAGACCTCTACTCTTTCGGACATATAATTCTAACACATACTACATGTATATATTTCTATATGCATATATGTACAAAAAGTTGAACATTTTTCTATACATAGAGCATCTATCTGTGGCATACTTACAACATTTAGCCACAGTGCCTTTTATACCTTTCTGAATAATGTGTATTTCTTAGAGATACATACGTTTTTAACATCTTTAGAGCTGTATTTAGACCAACACAGATCTCTCTGCCCACATCTCTAGAAATCCTAAAGAAGACCCAATGTTCTAGCCAGGAGCGTGGACCTATGATCTGAGGAGATGGAAATAACAATTGTTACGACATCAACTTGTTGACATATGGACGTTTTTAAACCGGGTCGCAGCTGGGACTTTGATGGGGGGACACATTAGCAAATATCTTTCCATCAAATGACTATGCAACACATTTTACTTTAGAATCATTAGAGTGATATCATGGTATATGTGTGTTTTTAATATTCTATTTAATAATACAAGTGTTAAAAGACCATCTAAAACTCTTACCTTTGAGTTGCACTTTCGATACATCCTCTTTCTCATAAAAACTAATTATTAATGGCAATAGATTTTTTTAAAAGACAATGAGAGTCTTGAAGCATATAGTAAAACTTCCCATGAAAGCGACTACCTTCATAAAATCCATAAAATGAACTTTACTAACTAAACTAACCCAACCTCCGATGAGAGACCAGGTCCTACCAAGACGATCATTTTGTTGTCAGACTATCAAGTCGAGTTCGACTTAAGGTTACTATGAACAAATATTCTCCAATTTGACTTGTTGGTGATCATCACTCGTAGCTCATCGTGCGACCTTCCGGTAATTTTTTGATCCCTTTCATCAAGCTTATTGCAGATTCTCCTCTCTTCAATTTTTTTTTTTTAACTCATTCTTTTCTATTCTGGCGATTCTCCACTTAACTCTGCAGAGCTTGCAGAGACGCCATATTCATTGTACATAGTGTATATAATGCATATTATCTTTTTTTTTTTAAAGTAATGCAGACTGTGCACTTTGCATGTATTGACAAGATGTCAATAAAATTATTTTAATTGTCAATTGTCTAAACATTTTACTTTCATTATATGTCCGAAGTTGGTCAATCTTTGTTCGCCTATTCTTTAGATCTATAGACCATAAGCGGCATCTTAATGAATCGGTTTAAACTGTATTCTGGGCATAGATCGAAAGACTCTTAAACATGCTGGGTAAAAAAAGAACAAAGAAGTAAAGAAATAGCATCTTCTGATCGAGAAACTATTGATGATTAGGGCCATTAATCGGAATAAATATCAACTTATTGTTGAATTTGTCCGATTTCCATAATTATGGACAAATACTCTTTCTTTATCAATCAAAAAAATTCATCCACGTTCGCGTTTCAGTCTGTTTATTCTCATCAGCATTGTGCAGGCAGGCTGTACCTCAACGAACAAATATGAAGATCCTAGAGGCTCCATGATAAATCAAGGAACGGGTATTTGAAGTAAAGAAAGAAAATTATTTGTTTAATTACGTTATAATGAGATGCTTTTGTCATAAATTTTCTACGTGGTCCACACATCATTCTTTTTTGTTGTTGCTTCAAGAGATAACAGTTTATTTATGCGTACTTTAGGTCGATATCTCATGAGATTTGATAAATCCGTTCATGATGTCTCAATAAAACGGAAACAAAGTTATTTGATACAAGATAGGACTATCAAGCCACTGAGAGAATCATTGACCTACCTCAGAGCTAAGTCAGTTGTAAGATGGGATCCACAGAGGTCTCATAGGAAAGTGGAGAGCCATCAAATAGATTACTTATAGAACAATCAATCCAATCATCTCTTACATCATCATCTGTCTCTCTACTTTTATATGTAAATAGGGCGGGATTGTTTCATGATACTTTCCCATCCTCATCTTATTTTCTATGTGACAATATGCCTAGATTATGGCTGAATATTTTCAACTCTAGCTGAGGTCCCATGTGAATAGGAACTAAGCTTGGTCCTACACGGTGTGCGGATGTACTCATTCTTCATAATAAAGGAAGACGCACTGAAATTTTGCCGAGATAATAGTGATATTTAAATAAAAAATGGCATATCCTGACCAGGAGCATATGTGCTTTTCAGAAGGCAGAACGCCATTTGGTGGAACAGAAATCAACTATTCATTGATTTAGCCTGTTCCCTGATATTTGGACTACCCAATTTCTTGATAAATCAAGAAAAGCCATCCACGAACGCGTTTTGCGCTTTTGGCGCTCGTCAGCGTGGAGTAGGCTGTATATAATAGTGATATATACAAAGAAAGGTATCCTCTCCAGGTTGGCATTCTCAGATTGCCAAAGCTGGTGTTGTGGCTTTGTCACCGACCTGAATCCACCAGTTTGAGGAGACGGTCAATAGATGACGCTCAGTTTTTAGCGTCTATTTTGATAGAAGATCTTTATTTTTTTTTAGATAAAGAAATAGATATATTGGGAATATTGAAGGTGATGCTCTGATTCAAAAATATATATATTTCATGTATTTGACTTTTTAGCTATCTTATATGGGCTTGAAAAAGTTTTAAGCTACATCACGAATAATATATGCATATCATAATCTATACTGGCATACCTATAGATAATATAAGAAGTCCGTGGATAAAATAAACGTTTCAAGTTTTTAATATCAAATAAACATCTCAAAAGTCTCTACATACACCTTTAAAAATAGTAAACGGCAAAAAACACATATAAAACAAAAATATGTTTATATAGAATACCATAATTGTAGGTTGGATTTTGATTAATTCGACTTCATCAGCCCTTTTATAAAGTTCATTATCCTTTAACTTTGGAAAGCTAATAAACTTTCCACCTCTTTTAAAAAGGACGACAGTGGGTTAGCGAAACGTCAACGGATAATACAAT